CCTGGATGGTAGCGCTAGATGTACGCCTGGCTCCACTTATCAACTGGCCTGAACGTGAGGATTTATGGCGAACTATGCCACAGTGTTTTAAATATTCATTTGGAAACAAAACTACCGTGATTATTGATTGTTTCGAAGTATTTATTAATAGACCATCAAATCTGCTCGCAAGAGCACAGACATGGTCATCGTACAAACACCATAACACTGTTAAGGTGCTGATTGGGATAACTCCACAAGGTACAATCTCCTATGTTTCCCAAGCTTGGGGAGGACGAACATCAGACAAATATTTAACTGAGAACTGTGGAATTTTAAATAAGTTGTTGCCTGGGGATCTGGTCTTGGCTGACCGTGGTTTCACCATCGCAGAGAGTTACCCTTCGCTTGTGCGACAGTATCTCTCTCAACTTGTAAGATTTGTTCTTTTGTAATCTCAATATCTACCTCTTGACAAGCTTTTAATAACTCAGGATAACTCAGAGCGAGGTACCTCTTATCAAACAGATCGCTAATTGTAGGTACGCAGCGACTTTTGAGGATATAGCTGTCTGCATACTCGGGTATTAAGCTTAGAGCGATGGGCTTGCTACTAGACTTACTAAGTTTAGCATAAAAGGTATCCATTTCCGGTTTTGAGGGAACAGGGATCTCCTTTAACACGTTTCCTTTAGCAGAGTTATTAGGGCTGGAACATTGGAGAGGTTCTCAATCTTGGCATCTAAATCGTTTTTTATTTTCCTTGCGGATGTAAAGTTTATTTCTCGCACCTTTTCATATTCTACTTGTTTGACGTAGGTAGGTAAAAGCCACGAGCACTTCACTTGCGTGCAGGCAAGTCTGCCATTTATTTTTGTCCACGCTTCCAGATAAAATAGCACGTTTGCTATATGCGAACAGGTTTCTGCCAGGCCAGCCTTGCAACCTAAGCAGTGTGCAAACAAAATTGTTCCTTCTCTTTCCGTGATAACCCAACATGAAATAAGAGAGTCGTTCATACGCTGGGAATGTCTCACCTTTGCTAAAACAAGAAACTTGTCGGCGATTATGTGGCCTTGCACGCTTGCGATAAAACCAGAGACCATTTGGTTATATGCTTCAAGACTTCGGAAAGCTTTAAACTGTTTCTGAGTGAGGAAACTTGTCTCCAAGACAAGATAACACAAAATATCTGTGGATTCAACAGGAGGCAAACAGTCCGGCTTAAAGTCCTTCCCTTCGACTAAAACTGGATCAATTCCAATTGCCGCTATTTTCTGTAAATATCGATCTCTGACTGGAAAATCCAGCTGCTACGCGTATTCGGATATCGGAAAAGAATAGTCGACCCCGCTTTTGTTCTGGGACTCTTTTTCTTACTCTTTTGAATCCATTTTACTTGTGGGAATGATAATTGTGGAAAAATTACGGGGATTACGCAATCGAAAGTGGTACACCAATATGGCCGACCGGAAATGATGTGACGTCACGTGAAAACGATCTATTGGTGCAACTTGCCCTCTTGTAGTAGCTTGGCACTGATATTGTCCGTTATTGTTTTGCAGAGAGAATATTGTTTGTAGAAACATTTAAATTCAAAAGTGTTCCTTTTAACCGGAAATGTTACAATGATACTGCTTTTGAGCTACTGCACCCCAATGTCGTTGACTACACCATAGATGTAAAAGTCAAGTTTTTAGACTTGCGAAAAGGTCTTGACGTTTTTCCTTTGCTCCCTGACGTCGATGATTTCATCAAGGGATCTGCTGAGTTGACAAGCAAAGAAAAGCAATGAAAGGGCGGGTTGTCGATGTGTCGGAATCTAACTAAAGCTATGTCTTCATTTGAAGCTAAAGGATACTCCGGATTTTCTAAATAATTAGTTTTTTGACACCTCAACCAATGACCACACAGCTCCACGAATGCTTGGTAACAACCAGGGATCCTCAAGGTGTATATGATAGGATTTGCAAGCGAACTACTGTATTGAAGTACCTTGAACACAAGAATAAGCTCGTATTCAATATCAACACATGAATGGCACGCCCAGTATGCAAAATTCAGGCCAAAGAATGGAGCCCAAGCGACTATGAAACAACCAATGATTAATAATATCGCTTTGGCGAGACGAGTGTCTTTCTCGGCGCTCTGAGTCTGACGGGTATTCAGTCTAACACTTTTTAAAGCAATGAAAAACATAGCCAAGTAGACAAAAAGGATTACTGTTAAAGGCAACACAAAAGATACCATGGAAACAAACAGTGTATAATGGGGCCATCTAGAGGCCTCCGTCACAGTTATACAACTCAGTGCTACTGATATGCTCCAAACGAGGACAATAAGACAGAAATATGGCCTTTTGGAGGATACACGATGAAGAAATGGCCAGCCAACAGCATAAAACCTTTCTATACTTATCATCATTAAATACCAAATAGATGCTGTTGCGCCAAAAACATCAATAGCATTCCATAGAGTGTACACGAAATTAGGAAACTCCACTGAATTTGCGAGGATGTAGATGAACGAAGGTATTCCAACACTACCCACTATGATGTCAGAAAAGGCGAGACTCATGAGAAAATAAACAGCTCGAGTATGTAATTTCCGTTTTCTGAGAAAAAGTGAAGCAGCAGTAACGTTCCCCAGTACAACGCCAGTTGAAATAATCGAAAATATAATGCAAAATGTAATTCTGATGGCGATGCTCAGACGGATCAGTTCCTGGATAGGTTCTGAAGAATGAGTTGTATTGAAGATGTTTGACCAGTTAACGGATGGCAACTCGGTAGAAATCGTCATTTCTTTCCTTCTTGATAAACTGCCTTTGGCAAGAATGAAGTGAGTTTTTTGAACCTGACTTTATTTGGTGTCCTCCTGTTTTTTCTAAACAATAAGCGGGCAAAATATGTCATTTTTTAAAAAACAATTCATCAATTTTTATATGAATAACATTTCCTCACATTTCCATCCCCATAATCAAGAAAAGTTTCTGTTATTCCTTTTTCTGTTAGTCAGCCACATCCTCACTAATATTTTCCCTAAAGTGTTAATCGTGGAGGCTTGTTTGTCCAATGCAGCCGGAGTACTGATGTGCTCAAAGATTAATTTATTCACATTCTACAACAGTTACAGCAAATAAATTGAAGGGGCTTTAACGAGATTGAAATTTGTCAATATCCTGGGGAAAAGAGACCGTAAAATCAGTTTTCGTTCTTTGAAGAACATGGTGAGGAGGTTATGTATTGTATACCCACACTTAATTTTTTTTTCGTTAACTAACTGATTAGTCCTTTATAGCTGAGTTCAAATCTGTGTTGACTGCTAAAATGTTTTTCTTACCTTAAGGTGGTTATGAGGAATTCTTACATTGCCTCCCTAAACCAGAGCGAAACTTGAATTTGTAGCCTTCGCCTACATCACACCCTGTTCATTGTCACTAAGGAATCATGGCTTTCTTTTGTGCTTGAAGTAATAAACACTGTCTTACTTTGCAGAAAATAAACAATTATGGCAAACAGAGAGGCAGATTAAGGAAATCTAGAACTTAGCTCTTTTAACAAGATGCCACCGGAGCTAATTTGCGAAGCTACTGTCTGGCGTACGGGCTCTCGTTTTTATCGCCGATTTGCTCGAAGAAATTTGTTATGATTCCGAAATGGAGAGCTGTAAATCAAAATCTTGAAATAGACGTTATCAAAGATTCTATTATCACTTCCAAAGGGAATTCAACATCGAGATGTAGATTTTTCTTAGTTATAGGTTATTAATTAGTGGAGAAAAAAGACCGATGCGAGAAGAGCAAATCAGCTTTATCGTTGCCGGGTTGTTCTTTGTGTTGCGATACCTTTTCAATTTATATTGGCAAATAAACGCATTTGTTCAACCGCAACTGTCATTTACCAACAATGTAAACTGTCCACAACCTTCACCTTTATGAAAATTATTACATATTTCAATTCTGTAGTAATTAAGAAGCAATTTGGAAAAATGCTTGCCTCGATTAGATTCAATTTAACTGGAAAAAATGCGCTTGAAAAGATGTATGACGAGATTCCCACAAAACAAGCTTTAAGTAATTTTATTCTACCAGAGTCTTTTAAAATTGTTAAATAATCTTACCAAAAGATGCCGTGCGAAAACTTTGATCTAACCGTTTTTAGATGATAACATACCCGTTCTTAAGTAGTAACTATCATAGGAAGTTCAGACGAGATGTAATCAAGCGCTCTTTGATTTCTTAGCATAAATGCATAGGGGGTCAAATTTGGTCGCCTGCTAAACGCACTTCTTCGTGTCTTTTTCTTATACAGATGAAGTGACAACTATCAAAAAAACAATACCTTCCCCACTAGAGATTCAATAGAAAAAAAAATTGGTGAAAGACCTTTTCTGTTTTTAGATGAATGAAAGGATTGAAGGATAATGAATTTTAAAATACAGTAGAAATATAACAAATACACGGTAACCGCTGCTTTGCTGACATTAACATTGATCTTCAGGGTTGAAGTCAGCGTACGTCGGATTTGAAAAAATGATGAGAGTAGGGAATCCAAAGCTGAAGCATCGCTCATAGAGCTACTAAAATACCATACAGGATCAATGAGTATAATGGAATAACTGCATTTCTGGAATGGCATATATGAAATAGCAGCAGTGGCCATTACATCCGCGTTTTTAAACAAACGACGATATCCTAAACTTATCAGCCTTTCGTATACCAGGGTTTGCCTCTCCCTCCCTCCTAAAAGAAAAGCTTTCTTTATACCTCCCCTCACTGATAGAAGCCCCCTCTCTCTCGCGTTCGTTGTTCTTCTTAACGATATCTGACATTGAAATTCTAAATAATTGCATTAAAAACATCAACTTAAAAGGAAAAGTCTGGCCCTCCGGTTTGTTACGCTGAGGTCCAGCTTCTTTCGGGCTGTTAGCTTTAATTCTGATGCAAATTTTAGCTAAAATTTTCACAAATGTTGCTGTATTTCGTTTTGAAATGATTTTATATATTTTCATTCTGGTTATAAGCCCACTCGAATATGCGTTAAGACCCATCAGTTTAAAAGCCCATCTAATGAAATGATAAAACGAGCTTTGTCTACGCAGACTAATATATTTAATGATGCCATTTAGCGACAATATTTGGTGTATTTTATTTTCATTGACTCCCCACAAGTCTCTTATCTTCCAATCCGCTGCACTTCTCCCACAATTGAGGAATCAACTTAATAATTTTAATTGTGGGCAACGCGTCGTTGAGAAATATATTGTTTAATATCCATGCAGAGCCCTGATTCTTTCTGACTATTTTAAGGAAACATCAAATTAAGATAGATTGTTTTTTAAATGTTCTGGCGAAATTAAAGGGTAACTGACATTTCACTGTATATGGTGGATCTTTACTTAATCTGTCCAGCTTTGGAAACAGAAAATCAAATCTTTCTATTTATAATCAAGGCATTTCCCGCTATTGTATTATCAAATCATTGCTTTTCTGAGTCATTTCCATTTGAGGTCATCCCAATGATTTCACTTCCACTACAAGTGCTTTGTCCTTCATGCAAGTCAGACAGCTCAACATCATAACGCCGAGAACTGGTTCTTCTGAAGGAGTATCGGTCTGTCGATTGACGATAAAAAGATCCTGTCAACCTTCTTTCTTTGAGAAGTATGGTGATTGGTCTTCGGAACTCAGGCATGCGCGCTGAGTATACTAAGGGATTTAATGCTGACCCACTGTAATGTAGCGCCTTGAAGAAAAAAACAACCTGGAGTGACACACCGGCTGCGCAACTCGAACATGAGAACAACACCAAATTGAGGCTGAAAAATGGCAACCACGTGACGAGGAAGAGGAGAATTAAAGCAAAAATGGTTATTGCCGTGCGGCTTTCCTTTTTCATAACACGAGCTCTGTTTCTCGGTATCTTTGTTCTACTTTTGACTATGATCCAAATTGAGGTGTAAGCAAAGAAAATGACTGAAAATGGCACAAAAAAGCCAAGTGTTGAATATATGAGGAAAGTACCCTTCCACTCGGGTCCTTTTGGTATGAAGAAGTTTAGAGACGCTATGCCAGCGGCTGTTAACCAAACAATACCAAGCACTATAAAGTTGAATCGGGCAGATGAGGTGCGATGCCGCAAGGGAAAAGCTATGGCATATACGCGTTCAACACTGATGGTCATCAAATGAAGAATAGACAACATTCCCGACAGAATATCCATGGGGCTGAATATCGTTTTCACGAGAACCGCTGCTTTAAAATCTTGATTGAACAATAAGATTAATAAGGTCGCGTACAATGGAATTGTTACAGTTCCTACCAAGATATCACCAAATGCCAGACCAATTACAAAGTAGTTGGTTCTTGTCCTTAAGTGTCGCTTCTTTGAAAACACAAAAATGATGAGCACGTTTCCGCATATTGCGAAAGCGGCGATTATCAAATACACTATACACCAAGTCACCAGATATTGTACAGCGATGAAAGGTGAGCCAACACTGAAAGGAACGCTTGAGTTTGTGTAATTGGAGCTGTTAGACATTCTGACTCCCTGCCAACGGGATCTATAGAGTAATAGAAACATGAAATCAGAGTTGAAGCGTAATGCTTCATCCCACATTGATTCTCGCATCAGTAATCAGCCTCCTCTCAAATTCTGATTCGATTCTTTTGTAATTCTTCCTTTGCCTTACGCTTAACAAAATATAATAAGGAACCTTGGTTCATGAAAATAGAGGCAGACTGCCAGCAGATCTCATACTAAAGTGACTCTTGCCTTCAAATCTTAAGAGAAAATTGATGTGAATGCTGTCCTGTCAACTTGCAGGAATCCGATGTGCAAAGTTACATTGATGATCAGAATGTTGAATTCTTCCAATAGATAGAAAGTGTAATAAAATGTAAAAAATAATGACTGAAAAGACGATCACTATTGTTCAAATTCATGTCCTGTTAAGTACGCACTGTGTATATGTTATGGTTCAATTTTATCCTTGGTTCAAATTTTATATTCTTTTGTTTTTGGGCATTGTAATGTATGATAATGAGTTTGAAACAAAGGAAAATAAAATTTGAACCAAGGATAAAATTGATCCACACCATATTCATCATCTGTCTGAAGTGAATTGTTTACCAAAACTGGAAAGAGAAAAAGAAAGGAAAAAACAATGCTCTTCTCAGCTTTACCGATCGAAAAATTGTTTCCGTGTAAATTTAGATTCATGTATTGAGGAATGCGCATTTCATGACTTACAACTGTATATTCAGCTGACTCAGAAAGATGTGCTTTATATCCTGTTTGACGCCCGCTTAACTATTGATTTGTAGGTGATTCATGGACCCAGACGGTTAATCCAAGTGGAAGCTCTCAGCTTAAAATTAAATCGTCCTTTGTTTTCGATTCATGTATCATGCTCTGTGCGGTTGAGACAAATTTGACATATGAAACGTAAAACATAAAATATTTAATACAATTTGTCTTTATATGACGTGCTTGTGTTATCACACAAATATCAAACTCACGTTATTAGTTATGATTTTTAAATTGTAGAGATATCTCACTGTAAAGCATCTGCAGGTACATGTATATCAGAAATAAATCAAGATTTAGATGAAGTAACTTTGCTTGATATTGCTGGATTGGTACTTGCTGGTGTCGGCGAATAAGTTAGTGCATGCCTAATTAAAAATCTTGAATCGAAATAAGCCGAGAGCATATCAATTAAGAAAAAAGCCTCTTTGCTCGACGAAATGTTTAACGTCCGTAGCGGGTTCTACACGAGTTCCACAGTTAAGGTTTGTAACATTTAAACGCACCTGCGGTTGTCCGGCTCGATCAGCTCCAGCGACAAAAATCTTGTTTTAGATGGTTGACAGCGAGACAATTGCGGCCACAAGTCGTCTCTATTCTGAAGAGCTTTGCTATTCTAATGGATCTACAAGAAAATTATATGTTTCAGAAGAATCCACCGACATGTTTTTGAGAAAAGCCGTGGGGTTTCCTGCAGTCGATGAATTAATTTCATAAACCAACTACGTTTATATAAGCTTGCACGTTAGGCTAATTATTCGCTGATGGTGTTTGTTGGATCGGTCAAAGCTAGGTTTACCGCCAGTTCTCATTAACACTTTTGTCGAATGGGAATCCGTTCATATCGCACAGTGCTGTGAAATCATTATTCCTGTTTACAAACCGCAACTTCCAGAAAGAGCCAAATGGGAGAAAATAATAGACACTTAATTAATTTCCAATTTCGCTCTGGATAATGTTGGGTTAAAGTACACAAAACAGTTTCAAGCAATAGACAAACGTAAATTAGGAGATAATACTTTTCCTGCAACTTATCTAGGTATCATTTAAATATAATAATTTGTTTGAAAAAAACGTTAACGTTACCTCAGATGTAAATATCTTTCTGTTAGGAGAGAAAATTATTCATATATTCCTTTGATGACTTCTGGTATGATAGAGAAACAAATTTAGCATCTCAGAAAAAAAAAACTCGCAGTGTCGATTACAGTGGCCAGTTAAAATGTAAGAGATAGCGCTGGAAACATAAAAACGAAATGTGAACACACCCTATTGTCGCTCGCAAAAAGGATTAAGTATGTCCTTGTACACTGCTGTTTGTGAAGTAAAATTAAGAGTGAAAAACCTGATGAGCGATTTTTCAAGCAGCGAAAGAACATTTTATCGTTATCTTTTAAGCTTAGGCGCGGAGAAAACCATGAAAGCGATGGAGATAATATTAGAGATGTCTTCTCTATTGATGTCTTAAGTACAACCTCCCCCAACTGAATTCAATTCGCGGCTAAGTTGGCTTTGCTACTGTATGATAAACATCTTGTTGCTACGCGACCTCGAGACAGAAAAGATGAAACCTGATTAAGATAAAGATTTAAAAGCGAGCGAATATGAAATAACTAAAATTCACGATTTCGTCAACAATTTTGCAATGAAAACATTTTCAGTCCCCTGTTCTTTGGTATTTTAATTCTTAAGCAACACAACCGTGTGTTTTCATTAAAAACTGAACCTTTCGGTGTGTCGCTTTAAAGAACTCATAACCTTCTTCTTCTGATAGACGACTGCGCGCACAAACTGCTTCACATCGCAGATATACATGTGGAATCTTATTCTGGAATCTGCTGTCGTTCTTAAATTGCCTTGTTTTTTTAAGTATGCCTGTGTCAGTACACTCTCATCTATTAATTTAAAATACACCATGCAAGGTGGTCACGGTTTTAATCTCATGTTCAACGTACCAAAAATCTAGTTACACCATTATATGACTGGTTTATCAGAAGAAATGTTTTACAGGGTACAAGTGTTGATCCTAACCTTCAAGTAGCACTGTAAATGAAGGCTACTACGTAAAATCAATTAAATTCTAGTAGCAAGGATGACATGTAACGCTGCCATAGTCGCGTAAGCAAATGATATTTTTCTTCACTGATGGTGGTTTGAAAAAATGTCATAGTTGACATATATCTTGAGTAGCTTTCACTTGTAAATATTCTGAAGAAATGAGAATGAAAACTACCTGTAAATAAAACCAAGCGAGAAAACACAAGCCAAATGAGTTAACTTGGAAACCGCAGCTTATGTGCTTGTTTTTCCTCTCTTATAGCTATGTCTACTGCAAAACCCTCTGCGCCCTAAGTGTGCAGAGTTTCTTAATTATTCGGTTTCATTTCCTCTTACCGTGATGATCTTGGCCAACTGAGCCGATGATTTCTCAAGGCGCCTTATCTCACACAGACCAGCTCGTCGCAGTGTTTTTGTAGCTTTCATTTAAAAGGCAAACAAATTTTATAATTTTTATGCCCAGCGGGAATTACCGAGAAGCATTAATGACTAGAGTATCAGTAATATTACTTATTACCATAATAACACTTTGAAAGAGTTTAAAAGCTAAATTGAGGAGTGCTCAGTTCGCTCAGCTCACAGTGTCTTCTCATTTCATAATCAGATGGACGATAAGACACCCATCAGCAATCTGCCTCTTACATACGCCGTAATATTCTTACTTACGAATATTGTAATTAGTCACTAAATTGTGTGATATATCGACATAATAGCATCTGTTATTTTAGTTTTTTAAAAGATCGGAAAACTAAAAACCGATGAATTTTATTTCTTTCTCAGTGGGGTATCTTTTTTCTCGTTACAATACGTTAACTTCTGGAGGCTTGGATTAATAAGAAACAACTTTAAAGAAGCAATAACGAAATAGCTCATGATCGGATGTAAAGATACTAGACCCACCGTACAAATTTGCCTTTTTAATGTTATTTTTCAGGACTTTTTTTTTTATTTGTTGGTAATTCAGCCAGTTGTCATTCATTGTAGAATCAAGCAACGCAAAATCATCCGGCTATTAATAACTCACAGAAATAAAACACAAAAACAGCTCAGTGATTTAATAACCAGAATATTCTAGCCTTCAAGTTTTGTTGGCAACATTCAAACGAAATTCGTAAAGATGTCGGCGTTTATACTTGCTCCATCGTCTATAAACATCTGATCACCCGCAGTCCTTGCCAACGCAATTAACCACATCATTCATCTTGGAAAACTGAAGTATTAAAATATAGATAACTGATGAGAAAACGACCAACGCATTGAATAGTTGAGTAGAGGCGTCCAAAGTCTTCTGCCCATGTATGCAAATGAACCTGTTTCTAAGATGTAGTGATCCATTGCCATCGAATGAATTTTATCCCAAAAAATTTTTGTTAGTTTACTTTTCTCGAATAGTCAAAATGAGACGAAGATCTGTGCATAAAGTTTGACGAAGGCAAACATTGTTAGCAAAGCCATTTAATGAGCTTTTGTACGGGTTGTTTATTTCAATAAAATGCACCTTGAATGTTCTACTGTCCGTGGTAGGATATGCCACTAGTCTTATAAACAGCGGACTTATCTTGAGGGTAATTCTGCGGTTTCAACTTTGAGCAGATGTTGCTTTGTTTCTGCTACCTGTCGAGAGCTGCACACATTTGATTGGATTAATTCTTCTTCGCCTGCACGCTGGGGAATACGCCCGAAGCATTTTAAGTAATTCGAAGATTAATGGGTCGTAAAATGACACATGCTGTCGTTTGAGAATGACATCTTTTATCTCCGATATATTTCATGACAGTAGCTATTCATCGCTGGAAACGAACCTTTCGTTATTGGAAGAGGTCTTCATTTAGACTGATCTGATGTGGTCTCGGTAGCATACCCACCGTGCACACATAAACAAATGACCTCGACGAAGTCCCAGCCTTCGTGGTACTAAATTAAAGTTCTTTAGTATTCTAATATACACCAATACGAGCGATAGATTATAAAATATTGAAGTAGAGTGAAACTTAATCATAATTTTATGATAAAAAAACAAAACAAAAAACAAAATAACTCGAAACAAAGCAAAAATAAATTTGAAAATTTGAAAATTGTTTGACAATTCCGAGAGATATCAAACAACATCTGTCCCAAGCTGTTCAAGTTTTTAGTGAACTGATGCACAAAAAGATCGTGAACTTTGCGGCGACTACTTCTCGACTAGGTGATGAGTAGGTGCCCCTCTTCGTGTTAACCATAAGGAAATTCTTTGAGCATGTCTGTTTTGCGGTTTATTATTTGCCCGAGTTCGTAATTTTTGGACAAAGTCAGCAATGAAATCGAAAAAAAAAAACGGGAGAAGACGGTCAAAACACATTTGTCAAATGAAAAAGGCACCGTCACAAAAGGCTATCTTTCCCAGCGCTCGAAAATAAACAAGTCATTGTATTATAAAGTATCATTAGGGCGAAATCTAATGCTATCTGCAATAAATCCTTAATTGACCAAGCTGATTTGGTGAAGATGGCTGGATATTAGCCTCGTTCTTTTTATGGGGGTTTTGTGGACCTCGACCTCGCCTCGGTCCGCAAAAAAGCAACGCCAGTAACTAATCATCACGCTTGTTCAATTACGTATATTTATCATCTAGGTGGTAGTACCGTCAATGAGCTCCAGTTCACTCTACACCAAATAGTGATTAAGATAGTGATTAAGACTTGGCTCAAGCAATTTAATTAAAACTCGTGCAACACCCAAATGGCGTTTGTATTTTAACAGATTAATTCCCGCATTTAATCCTCATGTATTTGAAATCTAAGTTAGTAGTAATTATTACTATATTTAACCCATTCATTCGCCTGGTTTTCCGTGATCATTATCATATCTCTAACCATTCACGTTAAAGAAAGTGAACATGATGCCTTTTTGTTATCGGTTTTTATAATTGAAAGATTGAGAACTGAGATGGACTAAGCACAAACTACAAACAAGTCGTTAAATTTGCTGTGGGCCGACTCTCATTCACACAAGTGAGTCTCAAGCACTGCTAGAATTAGAATAGCAAATGGCCTGAGAGAGAGCCCTTTCGATCAATTCTAACCAGAGAAACACCCACTTAAATTCGAAAGTTAACCCTTCAACCGAAAAGCTAGCATCAATTGTCTTCGAAAACCGGGATCGATTTCAAAATCATACTGAGGTTACAGAAATCTAACATGACGGCTTAACTTTTTTTTGGCCCGCGGTCATAGTATCCTTCCTGCGAAAGCTCTAAGAATACGAAGCGTTTCGCTCCGCCTTTGAGGGGGGTCCATTTGGTGTTCTCTTCTTGTACTCATAAACTGAAGAAAGCCTCCAAAAATCATCAGATATTAGAATTCTTAAAATGAAATAGATACAAAAACAAAGTTTTTACCGTTTGTCGTTTTGAGGGGAGATTTCATCTGGCGGGGCAAGGTAAAGCATCAACTGCTTTGGAGATGAATTTAGTTTACTTCGGTTAATTTCTCGGCCGACAAAGACGGCGGTAAAAGATGGTAATTGCATATAAAGCTGTAGTTATAATTGGCGTCATTTAAATAGATATAATTAGTTTGCGAATGGGATTTTAAAGTTCAAGAATCTTAACGGTTGTAACTACTGTCAAAAGAAGTTGATGAATTATTTATTGATGTTTCTTAATGAAATGGCTGACTCAGTTTTTCTTCTAAAACCAAGGGCCAGAAAGTGTGGCCTAGTGAAATTGCAGCAATACCCATCACCATTCCTTTGAGGATGACAATACAAACAAAAATTCGACTTTAGTAAACTTTATCATATTTTGTGTACTTTTCTGCTCGGCGACTAACTTTGAAGACCCTTGAATATGAATCAACATTCGCTCAGCGTTGGCACTTATTAAGCTTTTATAACCTTACATATTTGATCGGAAGCAAAGTTATGAAGTATCTTTTATCACTTATTATAAGGCTATTGCTCGAAGTCAAAGTAACAGGCGCTCTGTCTGGCTAAGCACGAGGGCATTGTAGGGATTACTCTCCCGTGATACGCACATTTGATAAGCAAAAGTTTGCATTCACTAAAGTTTAAAGGTCGTATACGGAGTTTTTCTACTCTTGTCATGTTTCCATCCTAATCTTTAAAAGTCCGCAGGATTAAATCCCAATAAGTCAAATCAGTCAAAGCAATTTCATGTTTACTAGGTCCCAATGAACAATTCTCGAACAATGGCTTTCTTTCAACACAAACTTCTCTACCGTATTTTACGACATTTGTTTGCTCCCAGACTAGTTTATTAGTTGTATATCAGGTCACAAACTTAGTCATTTCTTTGATGTCTCCTCTCTTGTATTTCACCGATTTTATGCTATCTTTCATCTGCAGTTTTCACGTAGCTAAGAGAGAGAATTCTTAAGTCGTTAGTCTGTTTTGAATATTACCAAAGAAACCAAAGTATAACTTTCATTTTCCCATTGAAGTTCAGGATAATTGGCGTTAAATAAACTAAAAGACTTTGGCTACGAACAAAAGCCCTAAATTGTTACGGGTCATGCAGTAAACTACACAATCTTCTCACAAGCAGGAAATTTTTTACTTGTTTCGATTGTCAAAGTATTTCTTGGCAATTTTTTGCAGCGTTTTTTTCAGACCTGAGGCGGATATCCTATGCAGTTTGGCATTTGTACCCTGGGATGAGGTATATGAAGTGAAGCGTATCATTTGCCAGTGCTATGGTATTAACTATGAAACAAAGCTTACCATTGTCAATTCAAATTCTTTCAGCCATCATGGTTGACGAATTTAAGGGCAGAAGTCGAAAAACTATGATCAGTTTTCTTTCGCAAAGGTGTAAGTAAGTTTTAGTGTACAAGATTATATCATATCTTAAAAAGCCGTGAACAGTCATGACAAGGGTCCTATAAGTGCCCCTCTGAGAACCATTGATAACGTACCTAACTAAATGGGTCCCCTTACAAAAAAGGATTTTCCACGCTGAGGTTTACTTACTTATAATTACCAACAGTCAGGCAACAACGAGGTCATATTTTTTCAAACTTAGCATGAGTACTTGAAAGTTACCTGTTCAACAGACTTTTATTTTAAAGCAAAATATAATTCATGGACCATCCTACGGAATACTTGAATTTGTTGTATTTGGTTGTTGTCATAGTAGTGGACTTACACGGTATATGATTGTCACCTACGCTCATAATTAGTTATATTATGACCTGCAAGAAACGGCTTTTAAGCCATAAACAGCAAATTCATTAGGGTTCCCACTTTTAAGGCTTTTTGTTATTTCTCGGACTCAATTCGTTTTCTGGCTACATAATCATATCATCTTTTTCAATAGTCAGTGGATCCTACCGTAAGCTTATTTCTTGGGAGTCTAGAAATTAGTCCCATCCAATCTGTACGCATAACTAGCCGAAGATTCTTAGGAGAAATAACAAAAACTCAAAATAACATATTGAAAAATAAACCATTTTGCCAATGAAGAATGAATAAGTAACTAAAATTCAGTTAATCAAAAGGTTCTCTCCCTCACCACTTTCAGTGTAGGTCGAGTTTTCAAGTGAGCTGTTTCTTTTTTTTCCTCCACCACAGCAGTCGTTTGTAGAATCATGCGCTGTAGGGCCCGAACTTGATGATACATGTTTTCCAAATACCTCGGTACTGTTTCCACATTTTCTGGGGATTTTGCCTCGATGAATTTTCTAAAAAAACTTAATGAAATCGCAGGTTCAGAGTTGTAAAAGAGAAGGTCTTCTTTAGGTGCCAATAATATACGTGCCCACCGTATTCGGCAAATAGCAACTCCTACTCAAAGCACCTCTTTAGAACGACGGCTAAAAATGAGTGGCGCTCATGACCAATGTTTTCATGAATCCCTGCAATTATTGTTGAATCTAAAACATGGCTTTTTACGTGTAAAAAGAGTTAATTATTTTTAGTACTAAGTGAATAAAATCATTTATTTTTTCTTTTGTTTCAAAGCCTTAAGGTGATTTATTTGAACAGCCTGTTTCATTGATGAATTGAGAGCATCAAACTGATCAAATGAACTCAAAATAGCGACTATGAGTTGAAGCTTGTCACCGAAGAGCATCCTTAAATGCTGTTCAACATCAAAGGTACATTAAATTTATCATTGTCCAGTGAAACCTATTTTCACTAAAGATCAACGTATTCATGATTTCTGTACTGGTGATATTGAACACGTGCTCATAATTTCTGGCGCCAATCGGTCGCGGGTTTTGTTCCTCTAATTTGTGAATTGATAAAAGAAAAATTTTAAAAGAATGTAATCATTAAGAGCTTTGAGTTGCGGGTACCTTTAATTCACGACCCACGAAAACGCTTTTGTTCTTTAGGTAAACATACAATATTTCTTCTTTGTGTCTTTTGACAAGGGTAAATTAAAGTTGAAGGATGAAAAACTATTGTGATCTTAGCCGTCCCTCTCTCATAGCTAATTCATCTTAGATTTATGTTTTTCAGTGAAATTAAAGTCTAAGAATCTCTTTAACAATGTAAATTATTTAGGGTAGGGGGCGGTTTTACATAGGCTTTTTTTGTTTTATAACGCCACACAACTCAAGTCTTACGACTGCTTGATGTCGTAAACATTATTTGATTCGTTAAAAGCCTGAAAGTGGTAATACCACCTGCGTTGCTTGGCGTTAAAAACATTCATTACATCATGTGCGAATCCGTTATTAAGCATGAGCAACACAGACATGTGCGAATCCGTTATAAAGCATGAGCAACACAGACTCATATTTTTCGCCCCTTTCTTATACGGACTTGAAGTTTAGTTCATGATTGTGACCCTTTCCATTGAGATTAAACTGGCAGATTCAGCTACAGTTTCATAAGGTCTTTAAGCATGAGCCATCAACATCAAGTCTCTCTGAATATCCGAGCTGATCTATGCCGGCTACCCCAAGATGAACACCGTAAGTATTTTGTAGTATTTTCATTTCACTCCATTCTCGGGCCCTTAAAAGCAATTTAAAGTCTTAGAGTGGAAATTATTCAAGTTTTCATGTTAACAGCCATAACAAATCACAAATTAAAGGCACTTTCACGGACTTTTTTGAAAGCGATGATTATCATGATAATTAACCAAGACCATCTACCCACTAAATTTCCGATGGCAGTTGAGAAAATTAATGATTGTGCCGTGAACTTTGGAACAAATCTTATACTAATTCAAGAGCAAGAAAAATACTACTTCTCTTAAACACCTCAGGAATAAAAGAACTCGATTGGATGACACTTAGCCTCACAAATTATCATTAATACTTTAACTCAAAACCAAGATCAGGCTCTGCATATAGAGCAATTTATCCTCATCCCCTCCTCAGAAGGGATAATTCAGGAAGGCTCGCTCATTGGCTAAAAGCAAAACATGTGACATCATTGATAAGATCAAAAGGGTTAAGTTTACTAGTAAATAAAACTAAAATCTTGGCCATCTTTCACTTGACTCCAGCCATAGTCTTGAATCACAAAACGTCAATAGTATGGGCCATAGGCCGTATATGTAAGTCGAAGGTTCTTTTCTGCTGGCTTCAATTTTTTAACTAGTTTTTCATCTTAAAACACTTTTTGCAAGGGATGTCATTTTCCATATCCTTTTCAAATGCTTTCCATATGCCTGGCGATTTGTAGGTGGAAAAGCGTGAAAAGCTTAGCCTGTAGCCTTGGTCGGTGGAAAAGAGCGATAAAGCGGGCCACGAAAAAAATATCAGTGGTCAGGCAACCACAACCGCTGTTTGTCGTTCTTCTTTCTAGCTAACCTTTAACGACATCGGAAGTATTTCAATGGGAGTCAGCTCGGTCCGTCAGCTGTAAATGCGTATAAAAGGACCTGCATATCATTGCGCCTTTTGTGATGACCCCTACCATATGATGCTTCAAATGGTCTGACACCGAACAGTTATAGACAACAAGCCATCTGAAATAGTATATTTATTCCAAAGAATCTGAGGCTTGGATGCTTTGTGTTTTTCATCCTTTTTTCAAAGCTTTTTTTGAGTGAGAACCAACTCATGGCGGAGATCAGCACTCTCAGCCGATCAGGATAAAATAAACATATCGTTTTGTTTACCATTAAGAGCCCTCGTGATTATGAAAAACAGGAGTCTCTTTTGCAGCAAATCGGCTTTCAGTAATTTTCACATTAGATGAACCAGCATGTAAAACAGAAACGAGGTGGTAATGATCATTGGCATGTTAGTAGTTATTTCTTTATCCACGTCATGCCAATGCAATGAGGTATGTGAAGGTAATCATTATGGTCAGTTTTATTTGATTCCTAAGATATTTCCTTATGTCCTCAAGTTTAAATCACGTTTGATCGGTTGTGAGCCCTGCGATTTACTCAAAGGGTGAGGGCGTCCGTAGAAGCCTGTTAAACTTACAATTTCATGAATAGCTATGTCTACTTTCCTTAAATTGTCCTCTTCTAAAATGTTAAATGCGCCATCATTTTTATCGTCTTTCGTATCAGTTAGCCTTTTTTTAATTAAATTGCCGCTGAGAGGTGTGATTTGCATAGAAAATATCCTTTTCTAGTATCACACCAACACACTTTGTTAGACGAGATGTGCCTTGATTCAATAAAAAAGGAGTCACATTGGTAAAAATGAAAGCAGTTGTGAATCGTTTTCAATTTCATAATAAATTTTCCCATGGCGGTATTTTTATAAAATTGATTATCTTTGCAAAATAATCTCATGACAGGCTTTGTCGGCACCGGATTTCTATTGTGAACCTAAGCGGAGAAAGGATTTGTGTTTACAATTAACTTGATTGAATTTTTTTTAATTTTACGAATGTCATTTGATTTTAAAAAAAACTTAGAATCTCACGGTGTGACAGGCAAAAACGACATTCAGTTTATTTTGTCATATTTCATGGAGAGTGCAATCACTTTGAATGCGACAGTGAGAAGATGCCAAACACTTTGATTTCTTTCGCGTTTGCATTTGTAATTCTTTCAGTTACACTCAATTTTTGGATACAAATAGTAAATGCAAAGCTATCTCAGAAACTGCTCATTTAACGTTCGAAATGTGACCCAAGGTCGTAGCTAGGCGGAGGTTCTCGAATGCCCATGAACCCCCTTCGTAAGGCTCTTTTTAAGAAAACAACCTTCAATTTCCTGGTGGCGAAAACTGGTGAGTATCAAAGTGTGACCCCCTTTGAAAATTCCTGGCTACGCCCCTATGATATGCTGTGCCAGAACCACTGAGGAGTAGTTTTTATTGTGCTGAATTGGATTCTGTTCTAAATAGAAACCGCTTGAGCGTGGAGAAAGCATAGAAAAAAGGAAATGAGATTGAAAATGAATTCCTAGTTAACGTCTGGAACAATTCTCAATAGAAGATGACATCAAAATGACCATCAGCTGTGGCAGTATCGTATCCTGAAGAGCTAGAGAAAATACAATTATGTTCTAGCCTCTGAATACACAACTAGGAAATCTGATCTGATAACACCAACTCTAAGTCTTGTATAGTTTGCTGGTAGGAATCAAAATTACTTCGAAATTCATGCCAGTCAGGCCCCTTCCCGACATGACTCCAATCCACTATAGGTACGTCAGTTGTGCGCAGGTTCAAGGAATAAGCATTTATTTTTGTGTTTTACACGTTACCATAGTCCCATCGATAGCATTTCTCAATCTCTCTGTAAATAAACCGTTCAAAACCCACAATTCCTCTATTCGCTCTTACTAAGAGCTAACACTTTAAAAGTCAGCTTTCTGACGAGCGGAATACAGAGTAATGAAAACTTCAAAACTTATTATAAGAACAGGGGTATTCGCAAAAAAAAGCAGCATTTCTGGAATGGAATCACATAGGATTAGTGGGTGAGGTCCCGAAAAGAAATTAGAAGGTGTGAGCCGTTGCTTTATCTATCAGAATCTTAAAGGTAAATTTTTCAACATGCTCATCAGGAGTGGACATCATTGTTCTATAGTCAAACTGTTCTTTCAGTTTCTGTCACCAAAACTTCTACCGTTGTGTTGTTAGATGGAGTGTTGTTAACTACTATTTAGAGCTTTTTTTTCCTTAATACTTTCTAAGTTAGTAGGTGACTCAACTAATAGGCTCTGATAGATAGATTTTGCTAGAAAACCCATACATAATTGGAAATGCATCAATGAGAGCTGACTGAAAACAACATCCCAGTTTAATGACCATTATTTTTAAAACTTATTAATTGCCTCTCACCATAAGTGGAAACTTCACAGCCTGGTACAAGCACGGAGAATCGGCCCCTACATATCAAGAAAAAAATAGAGGAGGGTTGTAAAATTTTATAGGGAGAACTCACTACTCAGCGTTATTCTGAAATCAAATAATTTGCTACGCACCGTGATTCTAAAAGAAACCAGTACACAGAGGCGTTTTAACCTTAAGAAGAAAATTAACCATACATGAAAAAATGATGGTTTTGTACGACCTTGAAACCCAAGTAGATGATGAGGCTTAGTTAATTTTTAAACCATCGGTGAAAGACCTGATGTATCTAATATTTTAACAGTGTTTGAGCCAGACGCTCCATGCATCCCACTGCTTCAGCAAACCTTTCTGATGAAAACTTTTCTTCGGATCCATGGTCGACCGAACTATCAGTTGGTGAGCTTGGGGACTGATGCATGCCATGTG